GGAAAAGCTGGTTACATTAAAGGCTCCTCTCTGGAATCCCAATACCTCTTCTCCTAGTTACCACCCTAATGAAAGGTGTGCATACCATTCCGACAATCATGGATATGATACGAACGATTTATGGGCCCTGAAGAACAAAATTCAAGATATGACTAACGCCAAGGAGATTGAATTTGATCCACCTGCTACTCTTAACTTGATCACTCCTCCCATGCCAAATTATTGAGAGCGTCCAGTTCATTTTGAATTTTCAATTGTAATTTCTTTTGTTTGTTCAAACACTTATCTATATGTCATACTTTGGTTACTTTCATTAATTCATTGCATATGTTTGTCTTGAATTAATCCATTCGTTTTCATTATATTTAAATTATTCTTTTTACTCCCTTTGTGATATTCAACTCTTATTTTAAAAGTTACAAGCCTTTAGAGGGAGGATAATGAAAACAATGCCATAATCTCATACATTATACTTTTGGACAGACCTTACTGACGATGTACAAGCGTTTCTTTCAATCCCTAAACACTGGTGTTATAAGGAAGATAATCCCTAGTCAACCCCTTTGAGCCAAAGAAGTAGGAATTTTTTTTTCAACACAAATTGAAACCTTTAATCAAAACCTGGGGCAAGGTAGTTTCTCAGTTAATTTAAATACGCGTTCAGTCGCAAGCTTTCACTTCATACACAACGAAAGACAATGAAAACATACTTCTGAATCAAAAGACGGCGATGGTTCCCTATCAAATAGGCAGTCATTATCTCTCAAAATAAATACCCACTAAGTCTAAACCTACGAAGGAGACTTAAGAAAAACTAGGGCATCCCGCTGGCTGTAATCTCAAAACGAGAATAGTCAGGCAAAAATCAGGGATAATAAATCAAAAAAAGAGGGCGCTAAAAATCATCAACAACATGGAAAATGTTGCAAAACGACTGCCTTCACAAATAAACTTCCAAGTTTCTGAACCATCACCAAAACGTCTTTTCAGACTCAATCGGAATTCAAACGCACAATTAACTGAGTTTAGGACTGGAGAACATCATGGAGAATGGGAGGGTACAAACATACTTTGAGCCTTATCCTTTGTTTCTTAAACCGTGAACCAGACCACGATATAACCCCTTAAAAGTCCTAATTGAAGCATGGGTTAGTTCGAAAGCATACTGTTACAAAAGATATCCTGACTCTTGTAAGGCTTACTCTAAATCCTGAGTTGAATTCACATTCTTACAAAAATTCTTTTATCTGCTAAAACGCATTTTTAAAACTTCAAGACAAGCATAAACTTCGCATTACTTTGAATATCGTTGTTTGCATATGACTAATTGTTTGACAACAGAGAAATCCACACGACGAATATCCAGTGAACAAAAATTCTCAAGAAATAGAACCACTTCAAATGGGATGACACTTCCAAATGAAAAATTCTCCTATAAGCAAGGGGGCATGACATGTCACTGTCCAACTCGTCTGGGAGCAGTCAAGTCGAGATTCCATGAAATCTCTCAAGAAATACTAAATAACCAGGGACAGGTCTGTATCTGAATCACTTGGGGCACTGAACATGAATTCCAAAAAAGGGTTACGTATCGCCAAGCAAACATTTTCTGGCAGTACTATAATACTTAATACTAGGGGCAATGACAAATTTCCCACAAAGTCCTTTTCATAGGGTAATCCCTAGTCAATTCCCCATAGAGTCATCTCTATAAGGTTATCCCCACAGAATAATCTTCACGGATAAGGGTAGGAATCCCTCCAGGCCAAATTCATGGATATCCCCACAAGGTTGGATCCAGGAAATCCCCAGTCAGGGTTTCAAATCTCCAGAAAACCTCTTCCCAACTGAGTTGATCTCGAGAATCTTCGAGGAGTTCTGCCAAAAGAAAACACCTCTCCAACAGATTGGAAACAAGGTTTATTTCCCCCAACAAACTACAGATTCCTCAGCTTGAGTTTTCCTCTCCGACTACTACAAATCAAGGGACCATAACCCCTCTTCCCCAGTAGACTTTCCTACAATCCCTAGTGAGTTGATTCAAAACCTGGGAGACAACCAAATAACAGTTAACTTCTTTATTCCCAACAAGTTGTCAACTTCCTTTATCTTTAAGAGATAACTCCTCAATAGAGCAACGAACAACTAAAACTCCTGAACTCTTTTCCCCAAGCAGGAATCAACACTCTCCACAGAGTTTTCCCTCAAATAAATTCAATATTCCCCAACAGAGTTCTCCTTAAACAACAAAATAGGAATCCCCAGCAGAAACATTCTAAAATAAGGTCTGAAGGTGTGCATAGTCTTCATCCCCAACGACAGTCTAGGATTTAACTTCCTAAGGTTCCCTAGCATTTGTCAAGGATTTATTTTCCAAGACAAAGTTATATTTCAACAACATTCATAGCATATGCATACGAAATGCATACAGCATAATCTCATTTATTTTGAGAACATCATCAAGCCATGCATACATCTGCATGCAACTGACCCCCTTCCTTGCAGGGAAAAGTCAATCAACAAAAGTACTCTTTGTCAAATACCACAACTATTTCTCAATAGGTAAGAACCTGAAACTAGATAGGACAACTATCACAACGACCAACAAAAGCAAGTTCCAGATTAATACCTGAAATAAGACAGGACAACTATCCGTGAACAAATTGATTGTAGATCAATTCCCGAAACAAGACGGGGTGACTATCTACATGATGAACACTTTCTTCAGACATTTTCTGGTTCAGTTTAAATCGATCAATGGTTTATCCTGATTCCGTTCTGGTAGACACTTTCTCTGGTTCAGTTAAATCGCTCCAAAGATTTATTCTGATTCTTTTCCAGTTAAAGATTATTCAAGACCTCTGCTGGTTCAGTTTAAATCAATCAATGGTTTATCCTAATTCCGTTCCGGTAGACACTTTCTCTGGTTTAGTTAAATCACTCCAAAGATTTATTCTGATTCTTTTCTAGTTAAAAGATTATTCAAGACCTATGTTGGTTTAGTTTAAACCGATCAATGGTCTATCCTGATTCCGTTTCGGTAGACACTTTCTCTGGTTCAGTTAAATCGCTCCAAAGATTTATTCTGATTCTTTTCCAGTTAAAGATTATTCAAGACCTCTGCTTGTTCAGTTTAAATCAATCAATGGTTTATCCTGATTCTGTTCTGGTAGACACTTTCTTTGGTTCAGTTAAATCGCTCCAAAGATTTATTCTGATTCTTTTCCAGTTAAAAGATTATTCAAGACCTCTGTTGGTTCAGTTTAAATCGATTAATGGTTTATCTTGATTCCATTCTGGTAGACACTTTCTCTGGTTCAGTTAAATTGCTCCAAAGATTTATTCTGATTCTTTTCCAGTTAAAGATTATTCAAGACGTCTACTGGTTCAGTTTAAATTGATCAATGGTATGATTCCATTCTGGTAGACACTTTCTATGGTTCAGTTAAATCACTCCAAAGATTTATTCTGATTCTTTTCCAGTTAAAGATTATTCGACACCTCTTCTGGTTCAGTTTAAATCGACCAAAGATTTATTCTGATTCTTTTCCAGTTGAAGTCAAGCTTAGACTTAGTCTAATTTTTGTCAACAATCACTTTTAGGTGGAATCTATAAGCCTATCTCTGACAGCTCTCTATCACCTCTCCAAATGGAATATTTAAGCCCATTCCCTACACAGTCAACCACAACATCATCGAGTGCAAATTTCTGGGCACTCTAGTGTTCAATCATCTTCTACCTTCAAGCTACGAATGACAGACTCGCTAATCTAACTCTTCAGATTTAAGAAGATTGAACATGGGAAGCTGTTGTACCCCAAAAATTTTCCCTCTCATTTCTCAAGATATTTCCTACAAAGATCTTTAATGCCACAAGTTTGCGCAAGTATCAACTAGGTCAAATAATCTCCTCAGCACTGATGCCTCAAATTAGGGTTTGAGTTTGTACAAAGGAAGTTGGATTTATAATGTTTCAAATGACTTTCATGGATCATTATCGACCCTCAGGATTATTTTTGCCAAGTTTCAAGTCTTGGATCACAATTTTCCAAGAAATTCATTCAAATTACCAAAAGGGCAAAATGAGCAAAATTAGGGTTTTTGACTGAAAATGACCAAACTTTGAGTTTTGACCTAATACCTGGCTTATTGGTTGGAAGCATGATCTCAAGGATTCGATCGCGTAATTTTGACCTAATTGCACATTTCAATTTATCTCCTGAAATCAGTGGATTGATAGATAAAATTTGGTCCAAAAGGGACTGTTTCCCTCCTAAACCTTAATATTCTACTTGTATCTTGTTGCTCCAACACTTACTTGATCGTTGGAGTGCCTTACAGGTACAATTTCCCTTTCTCCTCAACTTTCCAGCCAGTCAAAGATCATCCTTCGGCCCACTTGCGGGTCCTGATCAACTGATAAGATCAATAACACTTACAATTGATTAGAATAGTCTCTTAGTGGTTATCAACAAATAGAAACTAAAATATTCCATTAACGGAGGTGAATAATCGATTAGGCTAATTGATCATGACAATTAATTGACCCTTTGTTTTTTCCTAATTTGAATAATATTTTGTCATATTAATAGATGACTCTTCTATTATTTTCAAACAATAAAAAAATGATTTTTATCCTACTTTCTCACTCTCTCCTCTATTTCTGTAAAACTCTTTTTTTCTCACTTGAGTTTTATCTTAGTACTTTGAGAGTGTTCTTGTGCTTAATGAGGAATATTATTCTAGATAATGGCATAATTGTAATTTACCTAATAGTGTATTATTTATTGAGTAAAATATCATTGTAATAAATCCATGTTTGATTGTAAGCTAAACTAATTAAAAGCTCTTGTTTGATTGTAAGCTAAACTAGTGAAAAACTCTAATGTTGGTTGGAAGCTAAACTAGTGAAAAGCTCTAATGTTGGTTTGGTTAGTGAGACCAACCATTAAAATAGACTAATGTTAAGATAAAAAATTGATCATAGTCCAAAACAATAGAGTAGATAAACCGGGTCTGGTTTTGAAAGCTGGGCCGGTTGAACCAAAGTTGGTTAAATTGTTTTCCGTTTTCATAAAAGAACACAAAATACAATTTGAGAACCTCTCTCGTGCGATTCCCCGCCCAACCAACCACCTTCTTACCACACGATCTTCCTCTCACGCTCGTCTCTTGCTCACCACCACGTTCTTCACCTTCGCACGTATGTCTACAAAACCTTCTATTTTTACTATTAGATATGTAAGTTTCTGATTCTGCTACTTGAAATCTGAAGTTGAAACAATGTATATCAATATGCATTCAAATTTATATCTATAGTGTATTAGATTAGAATTTTGAAAGATAATTTCCCAAGAAAAGGTCTTGTCAATCTTACAAGATTATCAAGATTTGTGTTGGATATGTTGTCAATAGCTTTCAACCCCAACCCTTTGAGAGTAATGTTATGTTCTTGCTCCCCCAAATAATCGTTTAGTTCTGTTTTATTCCTCTTCTTTACTTTAGTAACTAATGAGTATGATGATCTTTTTAATTTTATGTATTAGTCTATTATTGAGTATTAATGTTTATTTTGTGCACTGGTTTTTAGTCTTTGCAATAACTGATATCCCATCATCCGCTCTATCGCTATAGCATTTTTACGGGGTCAGTGTCACGCAACGCTATCTGGGATTAACGGCATAGGTGCATACGTTGATTAGAGAATTTTCCTTTGTTGGGGGGAGTTGTAAAGGAATTGGCAAGTTTTGATATTTGAGTTTTTGGTCTGTTTGTTTTCTTGAAAAGATGGATTGTTTACTTTTATAAACTATTCTTTTCTAATAGGTCTTTTTAAGTATCAAATTTCTGAGTGAGATTTTTTGACATTTGGAAAACCTTGTCATTTGTGTGAGCATGATGATAGAGATTACTATTGCTTATCATGATCTGCGTTACTCTAATTTGATACAGATCGCGTTTTTCAAGCTACAATGGTGACATTCGAACTTTATCGAAGGTCCACGATCAGATTGTGCCTCTTGGAGAATTTGGATGAGATGGTTGATAATGGAACTCTTAGTCCCGAGCTAGCCATTCAGGTTCTCCTTCAGTTGATAAGGTACATTTGTTTTGGAATTGCTGTTTGGTTTCTGGATCTGGTTTAACTTTTGTTTTATTAATTATTTTAACTGCATGTGAATTATGCAGTCTATGGCAGAAGCTCTAGAAACACAAGCTGAGAGCAAAGTTTCTATCAAGGGACATCTTCATACATACAGATTTTGCGACAATGTTTGGACCTTCATCTTACAAGATGCTTTGGTTAAGAATAACGAAGACATCGAGAGATTGTTGGATGGGTTAAAATATTAGCATGTGACTCCGAGTTCCTCTGTCAATGATATGCTCAATGAGCACCATTAGCAAACTCAACTAGGATATCATTTTGTTAGCATTTGAAAATCTCAATAACCATTCTTGTTAGTATTTTGTTTTAGAAATAATGGTTTCTGATGTTTTTCTTGTCTACATTTTGATTTAAGAAAAAGACTAGTAAGGTGTTCATATGGGGTAATGAGTTTGATGCATATACAAGATCAATGGTCAGTGATTCACACTCAATGAAACCATCAAAAGAAGTAAAGAAAAATCGGAAGTGAAGTGATATCTCAAATTAGGTGTGTCTATGATTCTTAGTAAAATCCAACTAAATAAATAGTAAAAAAGATTGAACTCCTAACAACAATTAGCAAATTGAACTGCCATTTCTCATTATGGTTTTGTAATTGTCAAGATAATTAAAACTGGATCCGACCGACATCGGTCGGTCCAATAATCACCCTTAGAAACTGCCAAACAATTGAACTAGGATACAAATTAGTAATGAATAGGGAAAACTTGTGTTTTGTATTTTCTTTAAAAAAAAAAGTAAAATAAAAGAATTGTTTTGAATAAAATGAATTATTTTGATTTTATTTCTTCCATTTCAATTCATTTTAAGAGAAATCAAATTAAAAACTTTTCCCAGTTTTTCAATATTCATCGGTAAGTGGCAGAAGGTGAATTAGGAACATTAGGATTATTGTAATAGAAGCTCATTGTTTCAACATTAGGAACATTATTAACTTTTCTTAATTAAAAAAAATTGCAATAGAAGCTCATATTCAAGGACTATTGTATATAATTAATATTTATTTGTATTAAATGAATTATAATTTAAAACAAAAATAGTACTATATAATCCATCCGTATCATTTGAATTGCATGAAGTTCTTAAAACAATGACACTTTCATGAGTTCATGTTAAATATAAATCTAAATCGTACAAAAAATTTAAACAGAATCAACATTCAACTACTTTACCACTTCAATAAAATCGGGGAATTGTAGTTCAAGCTTATTTGAATTTAAACCAAATTATGAATTAGTCAGGTGCATAAATTTCAAGAACATTAAACATTTGCTTACATTGAAAAATAACTGGTGTATTTAAGTAAGCAACGGTGAAGTATATGACCAGAAGAAAAATAACTGAAGAGTCAATTACAATCATAAAATATCTGTCTACTGAAATGTTTCAGCAGACAAACTTTCAAAGGATCCATAACTGAGAATTCACTTGTACATCCTTCAATCATGTAATCTCTTCAAATTTAATCTGGCTGCCATCTTTTTTTGCTTCTTCCCTTCCTTTACCTTGAGTAACTAACGAAAAAATCGTGCATACAATTTTCATAAATGGACCGAACAGTGCTTTGCAGAGTTAGACAATGAAGATAGTAAATATTACAAATATATGCCATGAGAATTGAGAACTGCATCTCCCTTCCACGGTATCACTGACTAAACTAATTTTGAAGGAAATAATGGTGGTCGTGATTCGTGAGAATCAAATCCATCAAAGAAGCCAATATATGAGAAGGCAGAGAGCCGTCGACCATGTTACCTCACTAACACCTTCCATATTTTCCTCATATATACTACAAACGACCATACGGCAAGCCCTGCTGCAATATAAAGCAACAAAACACCAGAGCCTGCCAAAATGGCAGGTCCTCCATGACTGAAAACAGAAACCAAACAGATATGTCATTTAGAGCTACCAGATCAACAATTTTACTTTTCATAACAAGTAGTTTCCTCAAATATTCAAAGAAAACAGATACCTGCAGTCACGGGTAGCAAGAAGGATGGTTAATGCTGTCATTTGTGTGGCTGTTTTCCATTTCCCCAAATTATTAACCGCAACAGCCTGTTATTTTTTGCTTAGTTATATAAGTTTGAAATTTTGCATAAGGAGCAGGAAACTGATTCAAGTGATCAAGAAGTAAAACAAACCTCTAAAGTTTTACTACCCTGGGAAGCAGCCCATTCCCTGAGTGCCGACATGGTTATCTGTATCAAGGACAAAAGGAAACTATGTAAATTAAGTATGCTTCCAACCAAGCAATTATAGCATAATGCTGAACCTAAAGAGCACATGAACTTCAACGTTTGCGCATATGGTATCAGCAACATATAATTCAGTGCTCTATCAATTAGAGCACATAAACAAAGTCAGGTTTGTATCATAATAAAAAATGATCATAACCTACCCCCAGAAAAAGCAAAGAGGAAATAACGGTGAAATTTAGAGCATTTATGCTCATCCATCAATAATTTATCCTCCACTAAGGGTGTATCATGTATGGCAGAGGTCTAAGTCAGTTTCAATTCTACATTCTGTTTACACTCCATATCTTCCTCCCTTTCTTTTTTTATCAACTCTACCCTGTTACAGTTTCCATCTTCTCTTTTGTTGATAATGATGGTTTCAAACTCAAATTCTAATTCATTTTATGTAGACCTGCCAATTTTCAAGGGGGGCCTACTGTCATGTCGGGGCAGAAATGAAGAACTATTTTTGTTCTTGAAAGGGAACAGAAATTGTGAGTTACAACTTCAAAAGTGAACTTAATCCAGACTAAAGATAAGCTGAAGCAGAGGATAGAGGAGCATAAACCAGGTTGCGACGGTCAATGGCTGACAGTAATCCCTGTGATCAAGAAAGATGTCGAAGTACTAAGAGAGAATAGTTTAGGAGAACTTATTGATGACACCAGCAACTTCCGTAGAAGTCCTCAAGAGGTTAGTTCTTACTAGTTAGACTTAGGCACATCACACTGATTTCTGACCTTTGCAAGAAGGTAGCGGAATAAGAAAATACCAAGAACCTTCTTTAAAGATGGGTACATAAAAGAAGCTGGGACGAAGAAGACAAGGAGAGCCAGGGGGAAAAAGAACTAGTTGACCCCACAACTTTGACAAATAAAAGAAGCCTGGGAGATAAAATGGGAGGAGTCTCATCTCATGTGGAGGACGAATGATTATAAACCAACACGGTTAAAAAATCAGATTGGTCAAGGGAGATTCCTGAGAATCAAGAAACAAAACCACATAAAGTAACAAAAGCAGAGGAAGACACTTTGGTAGAAATGTGTGAGATTATGGTAGAGAATGGATATCTAAGTGCATAGTCAAAATTGAGAATTTACTTGGTAACAAAAAGTCAGGTGTGATTGTGACAGACCCTCCATGGAACACAATTCATAGATATGCATACAAAATAGCATGAATAAGAAGAAAAAAAATTAAAATTATTTCAAACACTTCAAATTTAAACTCAAAAACCATAGGAGAGTCATCAACATCTCTTAAGTCATGTATGAACAGCTTAAGCTAGAGTACAAAAAAGTACTTTATATGAGAAAATTAAAAACACCGTGTTTTAATAAGTGGCAAGGCAAGACATAACTACCAAAATTAAGTATTCAATAGACTCCACATTTTCTAACCTAGAGCAATCTCACCAAAATACTTGTTGATCCCACTGATCATACGAGTAAAATCATTGATCCCTCACAACTGTAGCGGATTGCAATTTTAGTAGCAACTGGGACCGCCCAGGTCATCAAAGTTTGTAAAGTCACAATATTTACTACCTTGCCAATGGCATATGGCCCCCACACTGAGCCGATGGTGGAGAATATTTGATTTCAATGAATTAGAAGCTGAATGTAAAAAATATCAGGAGCGAATGAAAATGAGGAAGCAATATGAGCAGAAGAAATAAGCAAGTGAACTAGTTGACCCATCACCACTACAAATGCACATTATCAAAACATAGTTGATCTCATCCTCCTAGTAGTCCCAAATCTCAATGGTCATACCATTGGAGTTGAAGAGCAACAAACAAGCATTAGAGATCCCAAATTTACACACTCACTAAATTATCCCACTATATGTTTAACATTGGATTTGCACGATTTTTATCAAGACGGAAAATTTAAGCAAACCTCTGTTTTGGTGCACTCTAGAGTGACAACAACCATTAGTAATTTGGATTCCATTATAATTTCTAGAACCTAGTATGAAGCAAGTTTTATAAACACGGAAAGGCATCTCACAAACTATACACTAGAGAATAAATAAAAAGAGATAAGAAAATATAATAGAAATAAAAAGGATAAGTGTCGCATTTACTAGGTTTCAAGTGAATAAAAACTTTGAATTAAAAAAAGGCCTGAAATGTGATTACCTCTCTACCAATTATGATGATAGAAGGAATAATCAAGAGCCATGGAGCATGTGCCAATGCAGCAACTTTGACAGGTCTAGTACATAACAAGATCAATGTGGCAGCAACCATAAGCTGCAATCAGTTTGAGGCACAAATAAAATCAGACATATTACAGAAAGAAAGCTCTAGTTAAAAGAAAAGCTAAGGAGAATGACCTTGTCCGCTACTGGATCTAAAAATGCACCAAAGGAAGATTTTAATTTCATCTGCAATGCAAGTATTTAAGAGAATAATGTTAAATTGAAGAGTGTAAATGTTTCAATCTGGAGTGATCCAAGCATATGAAGCCCGTCAACATTGTGAACCTGAAATCATTTAAAGTAAAGAGTAACAGGTTTACCTTACGAGCAATATAGCCATCAAGCCAATCTGTAATAGCGGCAGCGGTGAAAATACTTGTGGTAATAGCAGTTCCTTGCCAACCATCCATATAGAAGGCTAAATAAAAAAGAGAAAAAATTGAAATAAAAAAAGAAAGAAAGAAATTGCAATAGAAAAAAAGAAGAAAGAATAAGAAACACACTGGCAACGAGAAGAGGAATAGATGCGACACGGCCGAGAGTCAAAATTGTAGGCAAAGTAATGAGTTTGGAATGGGAAGCACGATCATTCTTCGAGATGGATAAGTCATTCATCTCCGAAACCATATTTATAAATATCTAACCAATCCCTTCCGATTTCTTACCTACTAGAATCACACAACACAGAAACACAAAAGTATACACTTGTTCGCATTTCCTTATATAAATAAATAAACCTAAAACTGTATAAGGGATTTTATAGAACACAACAGAACACCGTGATGGAGATATTCTGTTGCAATGCTAACGACGACGCTATTCTGTAGAAAATGGAAATTGGATCGAGAGCGGACAACTGGTGGTGGGCCGTCTGGGTAATTCCGTTTAGGGCCTTGCCGACATCTCTATCAGGTCAGGTCAGGGGAGATTTCCGCAAACACAGGGAAGCCAATATTTTTTCTTTATTTTTCTAACCAACCTAATTTTTTCATTTTTGCCTAAACTAAATATTTCATTTTTATAAATAATTTATTACGTTTGTTTATAAATAATATTTTATTACGTTTATTCCGGTATCAAAGTACAAAACAGCAAAGGTAAGGGATACTTTCTCCCACGTACACACACTCCCAAAGGATTATGGAGATATATAGGTTTTGAGCATCATTGCTTGAGTTATTTGTGGGGGACTACATTGCCGCATTGCATTTAAGTAACGTATAAGAAATCTAAATCAAATTTATTTTAATGGTGATTTTAATAAATACTTTATATACAACTCAATCCATTTATATTTGATCCTATTAATTATTAAAATTAATATTATTTAATAATAAATAATATATTTTTAGATTGTTTCATAAAATAACTTACACAAATATTTAATCAATTGAAACACTACAAATATCTACTTCAATAATAATAATTTTAAATTCTAAAATTTATAAATTCTAATGTGCATTAAACAACTTCCATTAAAGATGCTTTTAGTATCTTTGTTGTATCAATTTTTAAAAAAGTATATTTTGACTTTATAAAATAGACTATGAATGAATAATAGGTATAAAGACAATGATTGGTTTATAGAGAAAGGTAGCAAAGTATCAAAATCCAAAGATACCCACAAAGTATTTGAGTTCAAGGCATGCAAGATTTTAATGGTGGATACTTTTGCATATTTTTGTTTTGTTTGATATGGTGAATTGTCAATGTGGTATTTTTTAAAATAAAATTTTATATTATTAACCCACAGCTATGTATTCCCTTTATTAATTGTGTTAAGTCATACAAATATTTATAAATAAATAGTATAATATAATTAATTGATAAATTTTTATTAAATATTAGTGTAAAATTATTTTACACTATTTTTACATTACTTTAATCTCTAATATTTATACTAATTTTATTGAGAGAATTATTGGGCAGATTTTCTCTTTAAAAAACTATTATTTTCAGAAGAAAAAAAAATTAAGTTAGAACGCCACAAATACTATCGAATACATAACAATAGTCTCTATTAAAATTAACTCAAATAGTTTCATCAACAGTTAGTAATATAAATAAAGTAAACTTACTTCATTAACCTTTCCTGTATGTTCATACAAAGTGCTTTCATCGCTAAGCAAGTGTGCATAGAAAAATAGATAGTTAAGCAGGGATGGGATTTTACCTAACTCTTAATCACCTAACTAATTACTTTAATTAAATTTGGGACAAGTTAGTTAAGTGCTTAACAACCATAGCTAACTTGAACTAACTAATTTGAATTATGTCATTGTGTAATTTCTTCCACAAGTTAGTGGATAAGAGGGGGAAAACCAAGACCCTCAAAAGAGATGCAAAAATAAAATTAAAAATTAAAAAATAAATAAATTAAGGGAAATGAAAATTAGGTAAATTAAAGCGATTACTGAAAAAATTCTCTCTAATAAAGTTGAAGAGAGAACACAATCAAACATTATCTTGAAGTGAATGTCTCTAATTTGTAAGCTTGTCTGCACATCTATTACTTTCTCTGAAAATGTGCGACGATATAACATGTAACTCAAGATGAAAACAGTTGTGTCAACGGTTGCGAAAGTGATAAGGCACAATTGATGGCTTCTTGAAAGCCAAGAGAGCACTAGTAGAGTCACCTTAAATTCAGGTACGAGTCCATCCATGTTGCACTGTCAATTCAATAGCCAACATAAGGCTTTGCAACTCACAATCAAAAACAAAAAGTGGTATGAGGTTGGAAAAGAATCCACCAAAGAAAGCCCCACTATGATCTCTGGAAATGCCACCACAGACTGCATGTAACCCCACTACAAAACCATTCATATTAGCCTTAATCTAAGGGGTTGTAGGTGGCTGTCAAATAATTGTCACAATATTGTTTAGTGTCCTATGTGATAGAATATGTATTTATATTTGTGTATAAGTCTCACATCGAGTATAACATGTAATGAACTGTAAATCTCTCTATATATAAAACAATCTCTATAGTACTATTTTCACACAGTTGAGCTTAATATCTCTCAATATGTTACATGATATCAGTTGAGGTAAAGATTCAAACCTAATTAAAGTCAGCATCACCGTCGTCATTGCTCCTCCTCCAGCACCGTCGCCGCCATTGTAGCTTCTTCTCAAGCAACATCGCCACCCTAGCTCTTTCTCCAGCACCGTCGTCATAGCTCCTCCTCCTCCCACACTGCCTCCGCCATAACACCTCCTCCAGCACCGCATCACCAGTCTTCCTCTTTCGGTGATGAGTCTGAGCATGCTTCTACCAAGGTCAGTAGCTCCACCAAGTCATCCTCTTCTTCTAAGAGACAAGAGTTTCACCCAACCCTTGTTGTCACTAACATAAAAAAAACATTCCCTTTGTTATAGAGATGGAGAAAGATCACTACACCATGTGGGATGAACTGTTTGAAGTTCACGCTCGTGCTCACAAAGTGGTCCATCACATCATAATTCACAAACAAGAAAAGAAAAACTTGCATCCACTGATGTTGATTTTGAAATATGGACAACCCTTGATTGCGCATTGCTCTAATGGATTTATTCCACCATCTCCATTGATCTTCTTACCACTATTTTGGAAAAGGGATCCACCACCATGGTTACCTGGCAGCGTTTAGCTGATATGATTAAGGACAATCAAAACTCACATGTTGTTGCTCTTCAGCAGGACTTCTTATCCACCCGCATGGAGGATTTTCCTAATGTCTCTGTTTATTGCCAACGTCTCAAGAAACTTTCTATTCAGTTACAGAACATCGAAGAACCTGTTAGTTATCATTGTTTAGTTCTTTAACTAGTGTCTAGTCTTTCTGAGCCATATTTTGGGGTTGTTACCTTAATCCGCCAAAGCAATCCACTACTATCATTCTTCCAGGCTCGATCCATGCTCACCTTGTAGGAATCTGGTCTGGCAAAAATGCACAACACTGGTTCTCAAATTGCATTATATATTGCTTCTCAATGCAAATCTAATGACTCCTCTAAACAAAACTCAATCGTCATCAGAACAACCGATATGGATCCATCCGCAACAGCAACAATCAGAAGTGCAACAGAGGGCATGGACAACATGGTGGTTCACACTCTGATGGTCCCTCGGCTGCAACTCCCTCCCAGACCTCTCAGCCATGGCAACAGTATCCACCAGGTCTCCTTGGGGTGTACCTCATTTCCCTTACCCTACATCTCAATAGACTCACACTACTAGACCTTCAAAGCAACCGGGCTAGATTAACACCCTTAGGCTCACACTGCCATAACTTCCCTAGCTCCCACTGACATTGTCGCTGCTATGCACACCATGTCCCTCAATCCTCCAGACAACATGTGGTGCATGGACACCGGAGCTTCGTCCCCTACAACATCATCACAAGGTAATCTCTCGTCTTATTCTAATTTGAGTCATTTAAATCAGAAACTGATTATTCAAAGTGGACAAGGTATTCCAATTCAAGGGTCTGGTTACACAACTTTACCTACATCTCACAACATACACACACCTTTAAACCTTAACCATGTTTTGCATATACCACAAATTATAAAAAATTTGATTTCTGTGCGACAACTCACTACTAACAATAATGTTTTTGTTTCCTTTGACCCATTTGGTTTCTTGATATTTGACTTTCAGACGAAGATTTATCTCATGAGATGTAATAGCCTTGGTGATCTATATCCAGTCATCTCTCACTCTCACTTTGCTGGTCTTGCTTCCAATCCGTGGTACAGTCGTCTCAACCATCCTAGTCTTTCTATCTTTCAGTCTCTTCATAAAAATAAGTTCATTAGTAGTAAACATTTGAATCGAAGACAATTTGAATTCATTTATATTTTGAAAACATGTTAAGTTACCTTTTAATTCGTCCAAAAATGTCACTTTAATGCTTTTGATATTTTACACAGTGATTTATGGGCATCCCCGACTTTAAGCTCCCCCGGTCATTGGTTTTATATTTTATTCTTTGATGATTATTCTGATTTTTTTGTGGACATTTCCTCTAAGCAACAAGTATCAAATTTTTGAAAAGTTCACCTCACTTTCTAGTCAAATTCGCACACAAGTTTCTCGGACTATTAAATGTTTTCAATGTGATAATGGGCGTGAATATGATAATTCACTATTTCATAAATATTGTGTTGATTATGATATTATTTTTCATTTCTCTTGCCCTCACACTTCACCATTAAAAACATGATTTGCATTCTTCTCGCTCATTCATCCATCCCTTCCTCGTTTTGGCATCACACACTTCAAATAGCCACATATATTCTTAATATCTTAGCCCAAAAGAATTTGTACAATTACTCCCCTACCCAACTTATGTATCATCGTGATCCTTCCTACACATATCTTTGCGTCTTAGGTTGTCTTTGTTATTCATTGTTTCCAACCACTACCATTAATAAACTACAACCACGCTCAACCTTGTGCATCTTCTTAGGGTATCCCAATAATCACAGAGGTTACAAATGTTTTAATTTGTCACACAAAAAGATCATTATTTCACGACATGTCATCTTTGATGAGACACAATTCCCTTTACCCACACGCCTTCTACACCTCTCACCATATATGATTGTTTCACCGATAACTTGTACCCATCTATTGTCCA